AATTGCCACTTTTAAGTCTTTGTTATTGAGTGTCCAGGGAGATTGAAGTGTTCTCCCACTGGTTTTTGAATGTTATAATTCCTGATGTCTGATTTGTGTCCATTTATTCTTTTGCATAGAGACTGTTCGGTTTGGCCAATGTACATGGCAGAGGGACATTGCTGGCACACAGTGGCATATATCACATTGGTAGATGTGCAGGTGAACGAGCCCCAAATGGTGTAGATGATATAGTTTCCCAAGCTTCTGAAAGCTCAGTCCCATCCCCACTACCAGGAAAATGACCCTCTCGTGCCCCAAAATGGTCTTTAAAGGCCTGCACATCTTAATGCACATGCATTCTACACCTCCGGGGGGGGGCTGCACCCCACGCTCTGGGGAAAAGGCTGGCCCGAGGAATTGCAACGACTATAACTGGAACCCTGTGTACAGAAGGGCTGGGAATAGGCTGTCGTAACTACTGGTCTGTGTGGTACAGTTCTCCATTCTAACTTCTTTAAACCCAGCAAAGACATGGCATTCTACCGTGGCTGCATCTGTACAGATGGCCAGCCGCCAGGAGAAGAATGGCATTCCGTGGATGCAGATAGGATATTCAAGAGCAGGTATGCCAATAAAAGCTGAAGACAGAAGACTAATAATATGTGTAAGCTACTGTTGTACCTATGTGCAGGTGTGTGAGCAGCGTTTGTATGTTTCCAGGATACACTGACTGCTCCTGAGATTGATACTCTTGCTATCCAAGGACTGACCCTAGAGCTTTATAGCACCACCCTGCTCAGCAGTATTGGAGCTTGGTGCTGAGTTGCCATCACTTCTGTGAACGTTAGAGCCTGGTTCACTTGCGCTGTGCTGATCTGTGCTGATCTGCATGATCTGCTGATCCCTCTACCTCCCACGAAATAATGGCAGCCTCTCCTTCTCTTAGGAATTATCAGCCTCGGGGCAGACAGGAAGGATCACGTAGGAGGAACAGGAACTTGAGAAAGAGACCTCATCCTTCCTCCAGCCAGGGCTCTGGCCAGTCTAAACCTTCCTCAGGCCAGAAGCAGGCCTTTGGAAGGTGAGCTTGGGGGTGACGCACCAGCTCAGATAGGATCCTCCCCATCTTACCTTTTCATCCTGTCTATCCCCTTTCTACCCTGTGTGGGCCCACATTACATTGGACCGTTGGATGCTCCACACGGTAGAAAAGGGATATTCACTCCAATTCTCGGCCCTCCTGCCCTTCCACCCCCCTTTCCTGTCCTTCTTCAGGGACCCCTCTCACAAGCAACTCCTCATACAGGAGGTGCAGTCGCTTCTCCCAATAGGATCAGTAGAAGAAGTTCCTCAGGACTACAGGGGTAGGGTATTTCCTAATACCGAAAGCCAAAGGCGGGCTAAGGCCCATCCTAGACCTGTACGAACACAAGTTCATGAAGAAACTGAAGTTTCGCATGGTCTCGTTGGCCTCCATCATCTCCTCATTGGATCCCGGGGACTGGTATGCCGCCCTATACTTCCCCATAACAATAACTCCGTCCCACAGAAAATATCTCGGGTTTGTGGTAAGCAGCAACCACTGCCAGTTCACAGTCCTCCCATTTGGTCTGTCAGCAGCGCCGGAGTATTTACCAAGTGCGTGGCGTGTTCCCAAGCAGGCGTCCGTTCCCATACCTAGACGACTGGCTGATCGAGGGCCGCTCCAGGGCTATAGTGGAGGCGCAAGTTGAATTCATCATGGCAACGTTGGGCCTGAACGTGGGGAAGTCCACTCTGTCCCCTGTTCAGCGGATGGAGTTTATAGGGGCAGTGCTGGACTTGACCCAGGCCCAGGCGTACCTGCCGGAAACGAGGTTCCGGGCCCTGGGCGACATCATTCGGCATCTCAGGCATTTTCCCACCACCACCACTTGAAATTGCCTCCTGGGACACGTGGCTGCCACTGCAAAGCTGCCCTGGGCTCTGGTGGTTTTGATGGCAATTCTAGCTGCGCTCAGATCACTGGCTGTTGGGAACAGAGGGAACCAGGGGAAAACACCAGTGTCTGATGGGTCAAGGGCATTTAATGTTCCAAGCCTCCACGGCCTGCCAGAATCCCCGGCACGCTGCTCCCACCTAAGGGTGAGGGCGAGGGTGCAGGGCAGCCCTGTGAGAGCTGGAGTCCTGCCCATTGAGGGAGACTGAACATAAGAAGTGGGGCGATGGGTGAGCATCCAGACTTCACCTCCTCCTGGGCTGCCCCCTGCTGGGGGAGGTAAATACTGCAGGCTGTCGTGCTGGTGGCAGGGAAACTGGGGTTCTCCTTCCGCTTTATGATGGGAAGGGAAGAAAGGTGTAAGCAGCGGCCCATGTGTAAGTGAAAAGCTGCCACTCATCACAGCCCATTGTTTGCGATCCATACCCAGCGCTCCCACTCCAAAGGGCTTTTGGTGCATCTCTCTAGCCCCTCGTCTATGCAGCGCCAGGGGCTGGATGCGGCCTGGCTACTCTCAGCCTAAGAACACACCACCCGGCTGCACCTGGGGAAAGTCCTGTGAGAGAGGGCCAGTGCAACAAGGCCACCTCCAAGCCCTTGCAAAAATATTTCAGAGCCCTTTGTGGCAAACCAATAGCTGCCGTGATCTGTGACGGGCATGAAGGAATTAAGCGGCTGCTGTTGTCTGGAATCCTCCTCATTGCTGTGGGTTTAATCGATTGCAAAAGGCTTTTACTGTCTCCTCTGCTCTGCTGGCATTCGGTCTCACGCCTGGACTGCCGTGTGCAGAGACGGGGCCATCTCCGCATAGGAAATGGCTTGTGATCTAAGGCAGCCAAGCTGTCTGTCCTCGCTTGTTAGAAGAGCGGCAATGCTCAATGGAATTAAACAGCAACAAGTTACAAACCTAAGGTTTTTCTTCTGCTCCATATAATTAACATGTGCTGCTCTGTGCTGTGCTGCAGGGGGGAGAAGGGGGGGCCAAGGTTAGGGAGGCACTGAGATGCTTGTTTGAAGAATGATCGTCACAGACCAGCCGAAAGAGCAATGCGGAATCGGTAATCTTCATGGTTCGGGCCAGAGGTTATTCCTTTGATCAGGAGGAAATTTTCCAGCCTTTTAGCCCTCACCTATCCCATGGGAAATATTCTGGAGTGAAGAGGTTTTTTCCCTTTGGGGTTAGTGTTCCTGACTGTGGGGGAAATGCATCAAGCGAGAATTCTGTTCTTTGTACCACCCAGTAGATTGTCTCTTGTAGACACTGATTTAACGGCCTAGTGCGCTAAGATGGCTCAGGTTTTGCTGGATAACCACCAACCCCAAAGCATGTGGGTCGCATGAGCTGTCTCCTTTTCCCAGTCCTGCTTCTTGGTGCGCAGAAGGCTCTGCGGGCCTTGGGAAAGGGCTGAGTTCTCCCCAGACGCTTTGTCGTTTGGCGGCAGAGCTGCCCCAGGGGTGGTTGTGGGAGGGGATGAGAGCTGGGGCGCGGTGTGCAGGAGACGGGGTGCGAGTTTGCTATGCCACGTGCTGGGTTCTAGCCCAACCCGCAATGTAGGGGAGGCGACAGGCCCAGGACATAGTCGCGGGAGCCTTTAGGAGATGATCCGAAAGCCCCCATGGAGCTTTGAAATGTGCTCCTTAAGTTGAAAAAGGGGATTCTGGGAAAGGAGCGAGTTTGTATCAGGGTTTCAAAGGAGAAAAGGGTGCTGGGGGGAGGGGTGGTTTATGCTGCAGCACCAGCTCCCCACCAGGCCTTGATAGCCTTCTCAGGACCCATTAACGGGCAGGTTTAGAACCGCACCGAGACAAGCCGGGAAAGTGGTGGTCTCTGTGGCAAGTGGGTCTGCACTGGGGTAACAGCTCTCTGGCTCCTTCGCTCATCGGCCTCCTAGCAATGCAAAGGGATGTTGGCACCCTTAACCCCCTGCCCACTGTCTGCACAGCATCCGGATTCATACTCCAACAACCTTCCCCCCCATAGCAATGGAGCAGGCAGGCCCAGCAAAGATGAAGAGCTGCATCACCATTGAGTTTGTCCCCGGGTGTGTTGTGTTGGTGGGTTCCCATTCCTCGAAGAGCTGGAGTTTGAACAGGAGCGCGGGGGCATGTCTCTGAAAACCCTGAAATGCCTTTTTGCATGTGTGGTAGCTGCCATGTTTTATTTATTTTTACTCCCCCCGCACCTTGAAACGTTGAATCTCAGGTGTTTTTCCTTGGTATAACTGACAGGGTGCGGTACGTGCTTCTGAGTGCACGTGGTGATGGGCGACTTGCAGGGTTCTCGCTTTCTGGGGTGGGAAGAATTAACAAGATGGCCTGGCCTGAGCATCTGTGCTCCCTCTAAGGTGTGCACCTGCACGGCCACACAGGTGCACACACAGGTGAGCATGAAGGATGTGTAGAGTGGGTGGAGGCGGTGGGGTGAGGTGGAGGCAATGATGGGAGCTTGGGACATGCAAGGCTACAGGGGGGAGAGATGGCTCTCCCCCGGCCCCAGCCGTGGGGCTGGGAGAGCCTTGGGAGTCAAGAGACTTTGGGTCTTTCCCCAGCTCTGCCATTGAGTTTCTGTGTGGCTTTCAGAAGTCACCTCACCCCACACTGTGCCTCAGTTTCCCCATTTTCTGGATGGGAATAATGATATTGATCTTGCTCTGTAAAACACTTTGAGATTTATAAATGAAAATTATTAAATATTGTTGGCTTTTAGATTTGTGTTTTGAAAGGAAATTACCAAAACTAGGACTAATGGGAATGTGTTTGTGACTGTTTTTGTTGGATTTCCAATGACGACAGTTCCCTGCTGGGGATTCAAACCTCCCCTAGCAGTGTTTGCAAAGCCGTATGTGGGCAGGGGGACATGTGGTTGGGGTGTGATCTAAGTGTGTTTCACTGTAATAACCCAGACATGGAACATTGTGTGTGTGAGAATCTGAAGGTGAACTTGACTGCTCCTTTAATTATCCAAGCTGATCCAATGTAAAAATATAAACAACATGAAGGCTGAATAGCCTATAGGACTTTTGAAGTGCTTTGTATTGTTAATACAAGAGGATGGTAGTAAGGGGGATTTGAGTGTTTTTAAAAATTATTTTGAGCCTTAGTGTCCTGATTTAAAAAGAAACATTTACTTTGATTTCTAAATTGCAGTATTACATTTTACATTCAGATGAGACCTTTACAGATGAAGCCCTGTCTGAACATTAAATATCTCAAGCATTTTGCATAAGAGGAAAAGATTCTTCCTATCCAAAATTCCCTTTCTCTTTTCAAACTACTGCATAGTGCTCTCTGTGCTATTGGCTTCACTGGCTACTGACCTTCCTTCCCAGAGGTGGCTGCATTTCAGTGATGCATTTCTATGTATAGTTTGCAAAGCATGTACTGATCCTTGTGGAGGGACGCTGTAGGAATGAACAGATAGGGGTACCGCAGCCGTCACCTGAAGACAGACTTTCCCTAAGACCCAGCTGGGTACTAGCCGTAGGACGCTGTGAGCTCTTAGTGGGATAAGGGCTGCCTTGAAAGTATGGAGGTGATGGCGCATGTCTGCATATTACCTCGATATTGGTACTGCACATAACAAAATTCATTCTGCACATGGATGAAAAAAATTAGAGGGAACATTGCTGAGCATCATTTCTCTCATACAGACAAACCTCTCTGACATGGAACAGCCATGGAGACTGGAAGGCAGTCGTGGCATGTTCTGCTGCCCTGATTATTAGCTGTGTTTCCCCTCCCCCTGCCCCCGTTAGCATGGTACACCTGGAGAACGTGAAGGCTCCATTTACTCCGGTCTCTGCTTTTCCCTAGGCCACAGGGATCCTCTCCTTAGTGGCTGAAGGAGTTCAGTGTGTCAGGTGTGATCGGATCCATGTCTGCTCTGGGCTCCAGTTCCAGTCGTCTGATTCTGGCATGGCTTTTAATCTCTTCACGTGGCTGGATACCAGAGGCAACTTGTCTTTGCAAGGGAATCCTGCAGGTTGCAGCTCTGCATCTAGGAAACGAAGCTAGTTGAGGTTACTTTGTCAGGAAACAAACTTTGCATGTTTTTTGCCGCATCTTTTTAAAAGAACTGCGCTACTACTGGCAGTGTAGCATTTCTCGTAAGATCTCGTTCCCTGTACGTTCAGATCAACCGTACAAGTTACCATGACTACGCTTGTGGCAGTGCTTAGGAGCCCAAGTCATGGACCAGGGCCATCCCCCTCCCCAGGCGATGTGCTGGGCAAGCACAGGACAAAGGACATCGCCTGCCCCAAAGCGTACAATGTAAGGAACACGGCTCTCTGTGATAGTGCAATCCTGTGACACCCCAAAATGCTGGTTTCCCATGTTCGGACTTCAGTGAAGACTGGGTTAAGCTGAATAACTCTGATGCAGTAAAGTGGGGTCTGTTTCAAGCCAGCTCTCGGGATCGCTCAGTAGAATCCACAGCCTGCCTTAAAGTACACAGGTTAGATCTGAGTTCGGATTTCTCTCCCAAATGTAAAGTCAGTCAGCCAAGGAGATGAATCTGTGTGGCAAGTCCCCTTTCTGATCAGTCTGTCTCCGCGGGTGAGGCTGCTGTATGTAAAGTGGGGCCAGAAGGACCAGGGAGAAGCGAGACGCCCAGTGACCATGATTTGGAAAAGTTCCATGGGTCCTTTAACTGCCACCAGCCAAGGGGAGAACGAGCATCTGTTGACTGTCTCCCGCATGCGTCTCTCCCCTCCCCCACAACCTTGTTTGTTCTGACTCATCCACGAGATGCCAAGACCTGGCATAGGGCAGGAGTTCGTCATGGCCATACAGGGAAGGGCAATAACCATAAAGTACATCTTTATACGCAGCACGTCCACCCTGCGTAATTCAGGATGCTGATACTTGGCTAGAAAGAACTTGCATTTATTGGCAGCCGATAGTCCCTTCTCTGCTGCAGGTTTCCTTTGTGACTCTGAGCAAATCACTTAGCTTGCCATGCCTCAGTTTCCCATCTGTAAATGGGGATAATAGCACTGTTCTACCTCATAAGGATGTGGGCAGGAGAAATACATTTGATTGTGAGGTGCCCAGACTGTGGTGATGGGGGTCATGTTAGTACCTTAGGGTGTTCCCCTTAGTAGCCTTTCCTTGGAACAGACATGTCACCTTTGTGGCTATCCACCAATCCTGACGTGGTGCTGCATGGCGACATTTGCATCTCTGCACTAAGACGTGCCTAGTTTGCATGCGTTCAGGATGGTGCATGGCCTTCTTCCACCAGCCCCAAGCAGTCATCACCTGCCGCAGCAGAGGATTCTCTGTGGGGATGGAACGCTCTTGTCCTATAGGCTTGTTTTTTCGAGTTACGACAACCCAAGCACCTGAGGCAGGCACCGGAATTGCAGTTCTGGGCACAGTGCAGTGGAAACTTTCTCTAGTTGAAACAATGAGGAGTCCTTGTGGCACCTTAGAGACTAACAAATTTATTTGGGCATAAGCTTTCATGGGCTAAAACCCACTTCATTAGATGCATGGAGTGAAAAATACATTAGGCAGTGTATATGTGTATATATAGCACAGGAAAAGATGGGAGTTGCCTTATCAAGTAGGGGGTCAGTGCTAACCAGGTCAATTCCATCAAGGTGGAAGTGGCCTATTCCCAACAGTTGACAAGCAGGGGTGAATATCAACAGAGGGGAAATTACTTTTTGTACTGCTAATTTGTTAGTCTCTAAGGTGCCTCAAGGACTCCTCGTTGTGTTTGCTGATACAGACTAACATGCCTACCACTCTGAAACCTCCATGGAACATGAAAAAGGTCTCCATGGCAATTATCTTTTGAGGCACCTCTCTTCTTAGCCTTTCAAGTGTTTTGTTTTTTATCTTGGCTTCAGCAGTGTAATTCTCCAGCCCTCAATTGAAGGATGGAGTCCTGCCTTTAGCTTTGGATTTTATGCAGCATCTTTTAGCCAAGCATCTTAGTTCACTTCAGCAAGTGTTGGTTGCAACAGACTGAGGTATCCGTCTCTCTTTTACATCCATAGAAACCGAGGCTTGGAAGGTTTGAGCGGCTTGCCCATGGTGACAGAGTTGGAAGCCCAAGACTTCTGGGTCCCTTTAACCATAGGACCATCTCATACTTTTCCAGAGCAGCCTCATGTGGGATTTGAACTAGGAATTTTTCACATCTGAAGTGGGATTTGCCACTAAGCAAACTGGCTGTGCCCTAACCATAATGTTCTCCAGATGTATTTCCAAGCACTTTAGCTTTTCTCCCTGTCGACCCAGGAATAGCCGTATCCCAGACCACGTAATGTTTGGGGCTCATCTTATTTAACCCAGAGTGTGATGATTACCTCATAAACAGAGTGTGTCAGCACCTAAATAAAACATAACCTGCGTCCCCGTGTGCTCGGCTGCAATCGCAATAGTCTCTCTGTATCCCCTAGTGCGGAGCCGGTATGAACTTCCCTTTGAGTGGGGAAAAGGCACTGATTGGTAGAGAGGCCGGAGCGTGAGTGGGCACCACGGGCATGTTTATGCTGCAATAAAAACCCCACAGGAATGAGTCTCGGAGCCCCGGTCATTGGGGCTCAGGTTCCGGGCTAACATGCAGTGTAGGCAGTTGGCCTGGGTTGGAGTCTGGGCTTTGAGAACCTGGCGGGGAGAAGGGTCTCAGAGCCCAGGCTCTGGCCTGAGCCAGAACGCCCACGCTGCAGATTTTAGCCACGCAGCCCGAACCCCATGAGCTGGAGTCAGCTGACCTGGGCCAGCTGCGGCCATGCCATGAGTCTCTTGGCCATGCCACGAGCCTTAGCAGGAGGTCAGACTAGATGATCATAATGGTCCCTTCTGATCTTAATATCTATGAATCTCTTACTGCAGGGTTGATGAACCTTAATAATCTCCCCGCTCCCTCCAGTGGGGCCCCAGATCATGGGCTAAGGCGGCTCGGGGGAGGCAGCGGGGCGGCTCGTGCCCTGTGCTCTGGTTTCAACGTCCCCGGCTTGTTTTGACAGGGTCTTTGGAGTACGTTTTTCAGTAGAGACGCAGCCTGTTCATCTCCGTCACCATAGCAACCCTGCTTTGTGTCTGTGGGTTAGCAAACAGCAGTGAGTGGGTCTGGGTTGGGCTGCGCTGCCCATGGGGTGGGAGCTCCCCGCAGCTGTTTAAATAACAAGTGAATCCCGCCCTTCAGTCTCCGCGTTAGTGATGTCAGCCGCGGTTGAGGATGTGGAGCTGTGTCAGCGTGTACGTTCCCTGGTGCTGCGTGGGGGGATGCAGGGCCGTGTTGGTGCGGGGTGGGGTGGATGCAGTGCTGGGGTGGGGGGGGGGTGGCGGGGGGAATGCAGGTCCGGGTCGGCGTGGGGAGGGGATAAGATGCAGCAGCATGTTGGCGTATGCTTCCTGGGGCTGCATGGGGGTCTGTGGATACAGCGGATGGGGGTGGGGAGGATGCATTGCTGGGGGCGGGTAGGCGCAGCACAGTGTCTGTGGGGTGTGTGTATGGATGCGGCGCTGTGTCGGGATGGGGGAGGGGGGCATGGATGCAGTGTCGTGGGGGTAGATTCAGCACTGTGTCCGTGGTGTGTGTGTGTGTGGATGCAGCACTGTGTTGGGAGGGGAGGCATGGATGCAGTGCCCTGTTGCCATACTCTCCCTGGTGCTGCATGTGGGCTGGTTGTGACTGCGCTGTATCTGGATGATACAACCTGCCAGGAGAACGCACCTGTGCTGAGCTGCCCTCTTCTAGCTACAGCCTGCACTGCCTGCTCAGACAAGTGGGTGCGTTACAGGGTTCGGCCTCCAAATCCCCCTTTGGGGCCCTTTTGAGAATCCCAGCCTTTCCCTGTCTCTAGTTGCTCTCCCTAGCCCTGCGCTGGGGACAGTGGCCCTGGCAGTCCTTGTCCAGCTGTAAGGTAGACTGGATCCTTTAGAAAGTGTAGAGATCCGTCTTTCCCCGTGGGAACTGTGAGAGCCCTGTCCTCTGGATGCAACACAGCAATAGCCCTTCGCTAGCTCGTTCCACCAGGGAATGAGACAAGGCTCCATAACCTGAGCAGAGTGCCTGGCCAAGTCAGTTCCTGAGAGCAAGAATCTGCTGATCGCCAATATGCCCCGTTAGCCCCAGTCTTCAGCCTCCGGAATTAGAAGCGGGGTGAGGGTTACAAAGGGTTAAACTTCCCCTAGGTGCTGCTCCTGTGACACTGAGCTTAGACTCCCAGCTGTCACTTCTCTCTCTCCCTGGCTCCTGCGATTGGCTGCTGCTCCTGGTGGCAGAGTGTGCGAATGAGCAAGTGTTCCCCCTTCCAGCCCACGCACCTGCACAGAGCCAAGAGCTCAGAGAATAACACAACTGCCTGCACTGCAGAGGGGCTGCTGGTGCCTCCTCTCTGCTGCCTTAGAACCCTCCTGCTCAGAGGGCTGCTGATTTAAAAAAAAAATAAATAAAATTAAAAGAAAAATAAAATAAAGATTCTGCTCAAGATGAAACTAAGTCAAGTTTTCCTCCCCGAGTGCTTGTGCGTCCTGGTGACGGTGAGCGTCGGTACTCCAGTGCAGCACGTGCAGCCTGGATTCCAGCACCACAGAGGTAAGAGGGCTCCTCTCTAGGGGTACTGGACGTGTGGGTGTGTGGGTGTGCGCAGCAGGGCCAGCTCCGGGCCCCAGCATTCCAAGCAGGCGCTTGGGGCGGTGGGTAGAAAGGGGCGGCGGTTCCTGCAGCCACGGTGGCGATTCGGCGACGGCTTCTCTGTTCCGCTGGCCGTGGCACCAAATTGGCGGCAGCTTGTTCCTTTCGCTGTCCACGGCGGCAGTTTTTTTCATAGCTGGGGGTGGCAAAACCTGTAGAGCTGGCCCTGGTGTGTGTTCTTTCCTAAACCAATGGATGCAGCCGTCACCTTGGATTAAAATAATTTGCCAAGTGCGGTACCAGCCACCAGTTCCAAACATCTGTCAGGTCTTTAGGGCAGGAGACCGTCTTTTTGTTGTATGTCTATACAGCACCTAGCACAAAGGGGGCCAAGTCTGTGA